CCCCCTCCCTGCAGCACCGCTGGGTTTGGGTTGAGGCTCCTCCAGGGCAAACTGGGGACTCTTGGGGGCACCATATCCCCACTCTGTGAGCCCTCGGGGACACCCCGTGCCCTGCCCCGTGCCCGGGCTCACAGGCCATCCGGGACGGCGTGATCGAGGCCAGCATCAACCATGAGAAGGGCTATGTCCAGTCCAAGGAGATGATCGACATCTACTCCACACGGGAGCCCCAGCTGGCCTTCCACCAGCGCATCTCCTTCTGCCTCGACATCCACAACATGTCCGTGAAGGTGAGCACAGCGTGTCCCCAGCTCCTTGATGGGGACAGCAGGACGTGGCTCAGGGCTGGCTCAGCTCTGAGCTCCTCCTCTTCTTCTTCTCCAGGCCATGAGGTTCCCACCCAAATCTTACAACAAGGACTTGGAATCTGCAGAGGTGAGATCTCACCACGGTCTCTGCAGCCACAGGAAGGATGTGGCTCCTGTCCCCACCTGCCACCAACCTCGGCCTTTGCTTTCCAGGAGCGCCGGGAGCGTGAGCAGCAGGACCTGGAGTTTGCCAAGGAGATGGCAGAGGACGATGACGACGGTTTTCCATGACCCTGGGCCTGGCTGTATTTTTTTATTTGTCCCTTGGACAGATGGTGGCTGAGCAGGGCCCTCCGTCCCCCCCCAGACCCCCTTTTATAAATCCCTGCATGTCTGTACTGTGGGAGGGGACATGGGGGGTTCCCTGGGCCCACACCCCCTGACCACCTGCACTTGTGGTGGGACCCCCCCGTCCCCAAAAAACATCCTTAAAAGGATCCCTGTGGTGACATCGGAGCCGATGCCAGGGGGGCTGCGAGGGGAGCGGGGCTGGAGGGAGCAGGAGTGGGGTCTCCACCGGTGCCCCCCCAGCTCCCACGACAACAACGGGGTCAAACTTTGTTAAACTTCAATTATGACTTTTAAAATAAAATATGGAAAAACACCAGCCTGGGTGGCTCCTGCTGTGGGTTTGTTGGGATGGGAAGGGGCGTGGGGCTGGTTTGGGGTCTCTGCCCTCTCTCTGGGGCTGGGCACCAGAGATAGGATTAGATGTGGTCAGGTCATCCTGGGGGCTTTGTCTCACTTTGTCTCAGTGGTGCTGGGAGCGGTCCCAGCAGCTCCAGGATGGTATCTCAGGAGAATTCCATTGGGACAGGCACAGAGCCCCCCTTGTGCCCCACAACACCACCCCTGGGGGTGATGCAGCCACTCCAGGTGGGGTCCCATCAGCATCTGGGGTGAGTTCTCTGAGAAAATCTGGGAATCTCCCAGTCACACCCATGCTGGGATGGCAGCCAGGGCTGCAGGTCAAGAGCAGGGCTGTCCCAGCCCATTCCCACTCTGGGGGTCTCTGGGGGAGACCAAAGAAGGCAAGAGCCCAGCCAGAGGCACTGGGGCTGGCACTGGGGACACAGGGACATCCCAGGAGCACTGGTGGAAAGAGGCTGAAGAGGAAGGGTGACCACGAGGCAGAAACACAACGGCATGGGTGCCCAGGACAGTCCCTGGACCGAGCAGCTCTGGCCCCATGGTGGGGGGGTGGTTTGCTGGGCCAGCTCCTTCCCCCACCCCCCAACACCCACAGTTTCAGATTTGAAACCACTTCCTTCCTTGGAAAGCTGACAGGGCCTTTGGGCGCTGATTCAACCCCCCCCACACCCCCATCACAATTCCTGAAAGCACCATCCTGCTGAGAGGGCAGCTCTGGGGTGATCCCGTGGCTGCTCCGACTGAGGGGACCCCGCTGAGCCCCTCCATGGCCTCTGGCTCTCCCTGGCTCTGGGCTGGGGACAGGCAGAGCTGGGGGGGCTGTTGCTCCCAAAAATCCCATGAACAGCCTCTTATTGCCAAGGTCCCTTCACACATTCAGAGCGCAGAACGTTGTGTGCTGCCAGGTTTGAAGGGAGGTCAGCAGCAGGTTTTAGAGCACACCTGCCAGGAAGGCTCAGCTTGGTACTCATGGATTGGCTGCAGCTGATGGGGGTTTATTTCCCAGCTGGAGGCAGGAACTTCCAGGACTTCCAATTTCTGGAGCTGGTGCTATGGCTGTACCCCACAAACTGTACCCACAAAGTACCCCACTGGATGTGTGGCCCATCCCAGCGCCCACCAACGCCTGCAACCTGCAGACACTGGGTTCCCTGTCCCCATCCCTGTCTCCATCCCTGTCCCCATCCCTGTCCCCATCCCTGTCCCACAGCCTCCAGAGGGGCAGCGATGGGACCCATCCAGGGCTCAGGAGTGCAGAATGAGCCTCCCCAGCCCAACGCTGCTCTGGGATCACCCTGTCCGGAGCTGTGAGGGGAACGGGTGCCTCTTGTGCCCCGACTGGCCCGTGCAGGGCAGGAGCCGGCCAGCTGGCACTGGCCCAACAGATCCTGGAAGGACTTGCGGGAACCAGCACGAGCCAAAATTCCCTCGTCAGTGCAACGGGGCCAGGAGCAGCCACCCCTTGCCAAGGGCTGCCCTGGAAGCCTCTCCCCTGTTGGGCAGAGTGGGGGTTGGCCCCTCACAGGTGGGCTCAGCCCGATGTGACCAGTGCTTGGTGCTGCTCATGGGGACCCTGGGCACAACCCTGCCCCACAGGGCCCGGCAGGATGAGATCTGGCCCCGTGCTGCTGCCTCAAGGAGCCAGGCACATGCCTGGATCAGGTCACACCTTGGCCACCTCCAGCTGGTGCCACCACCGTGAAGGTGACACCGCCAGCACCCACCAAGATGCCAGAGTGAGGGTCTGGGGCAGCTGTTAGGGGGTGCTGCCTACATGGGATGGGGACAATGCCAGGGTGACAGCAGCAGCGAGAAGCCACCATCCCCTTGGCTGGTGGCGAATGACCCTGAGAGCGACCCTGCACGTGACCCTGCTGTGCTGGGCACTGGCCCACCTGGCCAGTGGAGTGGGAGCCCGGCGAGCAGGTTAATGAGTCACCAAGGCACCACCTGCCCTGTCCCGGCACCAGCCTCAGTGCCTGGGCTCCTCCGGGCGGCTGCAGCCTCCCCGAGGGGCACCGCTGCCCACCGGCCCCGGGAAAACCCCACGGTGTGGCCGCGGCCGAGCAGCCGGTTCGCGAGATTTGCATGCTGTGATTAAGGCAGTGAAGCAATCGCGCTGTTGCCTCATCGGTGAGAATCCCCGAGGCCCGTGCGCTATAAATGCCCCCGATCAATGAGCACAGCCGGGCAGGAGCGAGCGGAGCCGGGCCGGGCTGGGCAGGGCCGCACTGAACAGAGGAGGAGACTCCGAGCCGGGCACCCACCATGTGCTTCCTCACCCGTGAGTAGCCAGCACCCAGTGCAGCACCCTCATCTCCCACTGCTCCCACTACACCCGCTTCCCCCACTGCTCCCGCTGCGCTCAAACCATCCCAAAACCTCACTTTGCCCAGAGACCAGCTGCACCCACTGCACCCAGACCACTCTAAGAGTAGCACCCACTGTCCCCACTGCACCCAGAGCACCCATAAACCCACCCTACCTGTGGCACCTGCTGCACCCGCACACCCACAGCCCCCTGCTGCTGCCCTCGGCACCGGTCGGATGCAGGAAACACTGGTCCCTCTCCCTTTTTTGGGGTCTCCGCCCCTTCCCCAGGCCACGCTGCTGCCACCATCCCCAGGGTGGTCCTGGTTGCTGAGCCCACCCTGGCTGAGGGCTCGGGGCTCCCTGGGGTGTCGGGGACGCTGAGCCACTGTTCCCGCAGGTGGGCTGGCGCTGCTGCTGGGCGCGCTGCTGTGGGCGCCGTGGCGAGCGCTGCACGGGGCGCCACTGACCGAGCTCTCAGGGGACCAGGACTTCCAGCTCTTCCTGCAGAGGAACCTCGAGTTCACCCGCAAGATCCGTGGGGATGTGGCCGCGCTGCAGCGCGTGGTGGTGAGTCCCACACGCTGCGGAGGGGGGATGGCAGCCACTGTGAGGTCACAGATAAGGTGACCTTCCCCTCCCTGCCCTTATCGGCACCGCAGGGCCAGGAGCCAGCAGTGTCCCCTGCACTGCCCAAGGCTCAGCCCCGGGGTGTTGGGGCACCCACCGGGGACACGTGGTGACCTTCCTGCACCTTGCCAGGGCAGCCACAGCTCCGTCCCCGTTACACCGGGCCCACTCCATCCCCTCCCTCCTCCTGGCAGGGCTGCACAGGGTCCCACACCCCAGGGATGGGATGCTGGGGGGCGCTGGGGGTGTCGGGGTCCTCTGGTGTCCTGACCCTGTCCCCTTTGTCCTCAGTGTGACACCTTGCAGCTGTGCAAGGAGGACGAGCTGCTGCTGGTGCGGCAGCACCTGGACATCGCCCAGGCGCCGCTGGAGCAGTGTCACAAGAGAACCTTCCAGGCGGTGAGTGCGGGCAGCCCACCCTTGCCAGGAGCTGGTCAGCTGTGTCACGGCTCGGGCCACCCCAGAGTGCCCCGTGTCACACCCAGCCCCTCTGACCACGCCGTGCCCCCCCACAGGAGACTTGCTTCAGCCAAATCCGTGCCGGGCTCCACATCTACCAAGGCTCTCTGGCCACCATCCAGGCCCTGCTGCCCGGGCACGCTGGGCTGGTGGAGACCCTGCAGCTGGACATGGCCAACCTGTCCTCCAACATCCAGCAGCAGGTGTGGGGGCAAGGGGGGAACTTTGTGGGGCAGGTGGGTAAAGCAGGGGCTGCATCACAGAGGAGGAGTGGGCATGGTGGGGGCTCCATTCACAGGGAGGGGTGGGCATGGTGGGGGCTCCATTCACTGGGATGGGTGGGCTTGGACAGGGCTGCATCCCCAGGAGGGGCACACTTGGGCAGGGGGGCATCTCCAGGCCTGGAGCTGATGCCTCTGCCTCTGCCTGGCTGCAGATGGAGGACCTGGACCTGGCCACAGTGACGTACCCCACAGAGAACCAGGACCCCCTTCCCACCTTCTCCTCCCACTTCCACCACCAAGTCGGCGGCTTCTTCATCCTGGCCAACTTCCAGCGGTTCCTGGAGACGGCGTACCGGGCGCTGCGGCACCTCGCCAGCCTCTGACCCCTGTTTGTGGATGTCCCAGCTGAGGGACATCCCGAGAGCACACCATTTCCTGCTTATTTAATATTTATGGCTATTTAATATTTATCTGTCTGGGGATGCTCCCCCACCTGCGGCCCCGGGCGGGTGCCAGGGGATCCCGCGGTGGATCCGTGCACAGGTACCTGTGCAGCATCACCCTTGTTTAATATTTAAACAGAAGCGTATCTCTGCTATGAGGTTCTGGAGCTGGGCTGAGCCCCCACAGCTGCTGCAGGCACTGCCTGTGCCTCAGTTTCCCCACAGCTCGCACTGCTGGGGCTGCTGCAGCATCCCACAGGAAACCACCTTCATCCCAGGATGAGGATGCTCCAGAGCAGCATCTCCCTGTCCGGGCTGCAGCCTGCAGGGACACATCTGATGGGTGTTACTTCTAGTAATTAATATTTATTAGCCATTAGGGAGGGAGGGGAGGCAAAATGGAAGAACCACAGGGATGCAACAGCCTCACCAGGATGAGGCTTTTCCAGGGAGCCCCAACACTTTGGGGAGCTGCATCTCTGTCCCCCTTCCCTGCTAAACTCGGAGTACTTATTGCAATTTAACTTATTTGTGCCCACCCCTGGCCGGAAAGAGCCACTTGGACACATTCCCATCCTCCTGAGCCTGACGCAGCCCCGGTCCCGTGGCTGTGTGGGAGCTCTGGGTGTGGGGGGTTTTTTGTACTGTATTTATTGCTGCAGCTGGGTGAGCCCTAAGAAACACCCGCTTTTTTCTATGTGATAAAAAAGGAAATAAACTCTATTTTTGCACTCTCTCTCTGTTCCACTGTCTCCTGCTTGCGTGGGAGGGAGGCAGAGTGGCCAGGGTGTGGGGATGTAGGGACAGAGACACGGGGGATGAAGGAATGGGACTTTGGGGTGGGACTGCTGGTGTCAGCTCAGAGAGATGAAATGCAGCCCCCCCAGTGCCCCCACCCCACCCTGAGCCCGCTGAGGGCCAGGAGGCACCATGGGACAGCTGCTTCCTCCCTTGCCCAGCAGCGCTGCTTGGGCAAGAGCCGATTCCTAGAAAGCTCTGGAAGCTTCCCGCTCTGGCAGCGCCCGCCGAGGGCACCGGCACCATGCCCAGAGCTGGCTTGTGGGCTCATCCTGGGGCTGGTGGCACTAGGGGGGTCCCCAGTCACCCTTTAGCTGCTGTTGTCACACAGGGAATCTGCCCCAGAGCTGCACAGGGATGTGCCCAGAGCTGCCACGGCGGGAGGAGGCTTTCAGCAGTGAGGATGGACAAAGGAGGCAGCTCCCAATGTGGCTGAGCAATGTCAGGAGAGCCCTGGGCATCTCCCCTGCCCCAGAAAGCCCCTAAGGGCACCCCCAGCCTCTCCCCAATGGGTGTTTGCCCACCCTGGGCTGTCCCAGCTCCACCAGCCCCATTTCCTGCCATCGGGCCCACGCTCACATCCCATGACCACCAGCATCCCTCACCACACTCATCCCAGTGATGATCCCAGACAGAGCCCAGTGCTGGAGCGTGCCAGGGCTCCCAGCTCCTGCCTCCTGCCAGCCCTGGCACAGGCTGGAGCCCCAGGGTCACAAACCGCCCGGGGGAAGCCCTCGCCCGTGGGCATTTGGCTGCACACACCCCACGGGCAGCAGTTCCCTCCTTCCTCCCTCGCTTACAGAAAACCCCCTTCTCCTACTCCAGCCCCTTCCTGTAAGGGGAAGCTCCGGTGCCAAGGCCAGGCATGGGGCTGCCTCGGCCAATATTGACAGAGCCGGGAAGGCCAAGCCAGGTCCTGCTCTTTGCTCCGGGATAACGGTAAAGAGCTGCCCCTGAGCGAGCAGAGGTGCCCGGGCGGGTCGGTGCCAGCTCAGGGTGGGACTCACAGCAGTGTCAGGCTCGGTGAGGGCACCCCGGCCCATCCCGGTTCGTGCCAGGCTCTGTGCCCCACCCAAGCCCGCAGCTGCTCCCGGCTGCCCCGCGTTGGGATCACGGGCTGGACCCCTGGGGCCAGTGGGAAGGGGGAGGATGCTCTGTGCGTGAAGGCCAAGGACCAGCAACACCTGCAGCTACCCCAAGTGCATCGGGGTCTCTCCCTCCGGCAAATCCTGGGAGCTGCCGGGAGCTGAGCTCATCCTGGGATCAGATGGGGTCAGCCCGGTCCTGAGTCACTGTCCTGCTGCCTCCTCCTTGGCCTGTGGCACTGCTCCAGCATCACCCTGTGCCCCAGCTCCCTTCAGAGCCTCCCAGAACAGGGCTGGGAACCCCACTGATGCCGAGGGGGGCAGAGGCACAGCCCAGCCCCAGGAGTGGGCTTGGAGTCACGGTGCCCTGAGGGAAGGGCTGGTGCCCGCTTTCCCCTTTCTTGTGAGTCAACGCCAGTGGAAGGGGCAGAGGTGCAGCCGCCCTGGCCCTGCCACCCCCTCGGGGACAGGAGCTCGTGACAGCTCTGAGAGGATTCACTGCTGGAGCAGCTGATGGGGTGTGGGGACAGTCCCAGGGGAGCCTGTCCCAGCACGAGGCCGGTGTGGTGCTGGCAGGGTCACGGTTACTCACCCACTGCCCCTGCCGTGCTCACCGCGGACTGAACTCACGGGGAGGAATTCCAACAAAAACTCACACTCATGGAGAGGAATTCCAAGTAGAACTCACTCTCACGTGGTGGAATTCCCAACAAGACCCCGCTTGTGGCTGACAGCGCAGCAGGGAAGCATCCCTGCCCCACCCAGTGCAGCGCCCACTCCCAGTCAGAGCACCACAGGCTGCCCACCACCCATTCTCAGGTGTGGGACAGGGTGAAGATCTCCCCTCCTGCCCAGCACAGGGCTTGGCCACTGGCTCCCCATCACCCCCAGAATCAAGGGGGTTTTGGGCAGTTCCAGGAGCCCAAATGTAGATGAGGCAAAAGCTGGTTGTACAAAAGGATTGATTTATACAACTAAAAAAATTAGGGGGGTGTCTCAGTCTCAAAAGTGCCACGAGGCAGAGCGAGGAGATGGGAGATGGCTCTGTGTGCTGAGGGAGCAGCTCTCCAGCAGCTGCAGTGACTGAGTCCATCCCAGCCATCAGGAACATCCCTGGGCTCCTCAGGGATCCCCCCTGGATCACAGTGCAGCGATGGCCTTGGCAGCGACACGACGGCCCAGGGGCAGGCTGAGGTCAGTGATGGCCAGGACGATTTTGGGACTGGACATGGTGGACACCTTCACCAGCTCTGACACCTGCCCAGGGAGAGAGGAGAAACACAGGTGAGTGTCAGCAGGAGCCTGGGATGTGCGCATCCTGTGGGCCCCAGGTGCCCCCCAAGCAGGGACAGGGGTGTCACAGCTGCTGGACCCACCATGGTGAAGGGCATGAACTGGAGGATGCTCCCACGGCTGCCCTGCTCCAGGCACTCCACACACTCCTCCATGAACCACTGGACAAACTGGGTGTGGGTGCCGGCTGTCTTGGCCCCCAGGATGGAAGAGATGAGCAGGAAGAGGTTTGCTGTGGGGACAGGGAGAGAGCAACTGTCACTTCTGGCAGGCTGTGGGTGACCTGAACTTCCCAGAGGTGTGCCAGTGGTCGGATGTGACCCCACAGACCCATCCCCACCTTACCCAGCACCCGGTTCAGCGGGTCCCTCATGCTGACGGTGTGGAGCTGGGAGGCAGAGAGTGAGCTGCTCATGGAGCGATCTGTGGGCAGGAGCAGAGAGTCAGGAACAGCCTCATGGCCCCTTTGGCTGAGCCAGTGTGCCCACGCTGGCCAGCTCTGGCCACTCGAGGTCACCCAGCTCTGGGAGAGGCTTTGTCCTGAGGCAACTCTGTGGAGCAGAAGAGCTTTAGGTCCCCTGTACCCGACAGAGTCTGTGCCAGCAAAAACACACCTGGACAGGGTGAGGCAAAAACACAGCCCAGATGGTCTCTGCCCCATCCCTGTCCCCTCTGCCAGCCCCCACGGAGCCCAGGCAGGTTTCCCACGCTGCTTTCGGGGTGTGATGCGTGGTGTCACGATCAGGAGCGCAGGAGAACGGCAGCGACACACACGTTACACATCCTGTGTGCAAGCCAGATGTTCAACAGCTGCACAGCAGCCCTCCCATCTCACTGTCAGGGTGCAATCCAGCTACCAGAGCTGAGGCACGTCCAAATCTAGCGGCAAATCATGGGACAGACCAGGAGGATTGAGCTGACCCCAGCTGGGCACTCCTGTGGGAAGAACTGGGTCAGGTCCACTCCAGCAGGATGGGAATCCCCTTGGGAAGGCTCTTGTGCCCCTGCCCAAATCTGCAGGATCCACCTTGTGCTGCTCTGAGGATGCTCACCAGAAAAAGAAAGCCCTCCCACACTTTTCTCATGGAATCACATGAGCTACATGGTGGCTGCAGGAAGCGGCATTTCCACATCGCTGCAGCAAATAGCCCAAAAAAGTCCTGAATGTCACTGGGGAGAGGTGGGACTGCCTCAGGAGGTAAAAGAAGATAAGTGAAATAAAGGGAAAAGCCCGTATTTCAACAGTAATGAGACCAACTGAAACTGAAGGCCAATGGATGTGTCGAAAACTAATATATAGAGTAATTCGGGATGAGGAGAGAAACAATGGCCTGAGAATGTCCTGACTCACTGCTCAGGAGTGTGGACAATCCATGTGGGAACCGTGACAGCACCCACTGGGCAGGACATGGACGCCCCCAGCAAATCCCCCCCGGAGCTGTTGCAACCCGTGACCCTTCAGGGACACGGATGTGAGCAGGGGCCTCATCCGCTCTGCTTCAGTCTTGTTAACAGCACTGGAATGTCAGGATTTGGCCCCAGACACCAGGAATGTCACCTCCAGCTGAGGTCCCATGCAGGGTGGCTGGAGGGACACAAAGCCCCCAAGCCTCTTGGGTGTGGGGTGTTGGGCTGGGGGGAACTGGCACGAAAGGAAGGTGTAATCTCACCCTTTTTTAGTTGTTCTGATCAGAAAAACAAAGAAATTGACCTTTTCTAAATGCAAAAACTCTAAGATAACTCAAAATGCACTTGAGATCTCTAAATCCTCACCCAGCTGGTTTGGGAAGGGAAGGGGTTTTGTGCAAACACACATTTCACACCCAAAAGGGACAGCAAAGCAGGGGAGCCATCCCCCCCTCCCCTCCTGCACTTACTGGGGCTGGAGAGGATGTTGGAATCCTCCTCGTTGGAGCTCAGCAGCCGCATGAGCTTGGAGGGTTGTGTGTCATCCAGCGGGAACAGGCTGATGTAATCCTGGGGAGAGAGACGGGGGTCAGGCCCAGCAGCCCCTCACCCTGTCCAGGGCTGGTGACCCACCCATGGCTCTGCACAGCCTCACAGCCCAGGATGTGATCTCTGTTAACCCAGTCTGGGCTGGACACACGCTGAGCAGCTCAGCCCCTTGCCCAGAGAAGAGAAGAGAAGAGAGAATCCTGAATGTTAAGGTTGCAAGGCCTCAGAGAACCCAGAGAAGCTGGGCAGGGAGTCTGGCTTTGCCCACTCATTCCTGCCACCCTCACATTCCCCAGCCACTGCTGCTTTTGGGCACAGAGAGCCCCCAGCCAAGCCCTGCTCCACCCAGACACACCTCGATGTCCTCCCGGTGCCTCTTCTTCTGCCGGGCCGAGGCCTGGACCTTGCTGTGGGAGGAGTAGGAGCTCAGGGCACACCAAACAGAGAGCCTGGGGACAGAGCAGAGACACAGCCAGGTGCTGCCAGCCCACCTGACAATGGGGTGTGGGACACAGCAGCTTCCTCTTCAGAGGGGGACAGCAGGGAATGGGGACCAGAGTAGGAACTGCTGGCACTGCCGAAGCCAGAGTG